GACCATCAAGCACTGATCACAACAATACTTACACGAGTCCACCTACAACAAAACCCCAACAAGTCAGCTAGAACCAGAAAGAATTGGAAGAAAGCTGAAAGAATATCACTCAAAACGGAAATTCAGCAAAACCTACCGGACATCAAACCACTGACTACACGTGAGTTAATTGAAACCTTTGATGAACAAATAACAGCAGCCATCACAACAGCACTCGACAACAACTCTCCCTGGAAGCCACCCATTGGTAAGCACAAAAAGTGGTGGATCCCGGAAATTCTTGATCCTCTACAAAAGGAAGCGCTCCGAACTGAGCGACTAATGAAGAAAACAAGAAAAGAGGAAGATCGCCTAGCTTACAAAAAAGCACGAAACAACTTCAAGACAGCAATGAACAATGCCAAAGAGAACAGCTGGAAGATTTATCTCACAACACTCACTCACGACACACTCTTCCAGGCAAAGAAATTTGCATCTGGAAGACAACCATCTCCGGTGATAAGCACACTAATCACTTCAGATGGAAATACGTGTACGTCAAATGAAGAAAAGGCTGACGCGCTTTTCAAAGCTACATGTGTAGCTACTGCACCATGTGACTTACAGGATACCACAACCCTCGACTTTCCATTAACTGAAGAAACAAAAACAACACCATCCACGATGCCGAGCCTTAGTGACGCGCTGAACAAGGACTCGCTCAATGATATCGTTATGAAGAGCCCACCTTTGAAAGCCCCGGGTAGGGATGGCATCCAAAACTGGATATGGCAGACCATATGGCCAGTGGTTAAAAGGCATGTCCTCGCTTTATTTCACTGTATCATCATTACCGGCATCTTTCCAACGCGCTGGAAAGAAGCAAAAACAGTCATGATTCCCAAACCAGGGAAATCAGACTACACTTCACCCTCCTCCTACAGGCCGATAGCACTCCTTAACACAATCAGTAAGTTTTTCGAAAAGCTGATTGCAATCCACCTGTCACAACAGGTGGAGAAACTCCAGCTCCTAAACCGCGGACACTACGGCAGTCAACCAAACAGATCAAGCCATGAAGCTCTAGTACACCTAGTCAGCTACATACGCACCGAATGGACTAAAGGTAACATCGTAGGAGCCATGTTTGCTGATGTTAAGTCAGCGTTCCCGTCAGTTCATCACCCAAGGCTCTTGGACACGATCGAGAAAAAAGGAACACACTCTCGTACCCTCAACATCGTCAATGACTTCCTCTCAGACCGATCAACTAGGCTCTCGTTCAACGGCTTTGAATCAGAACCATTCAAATTATCCCACGGATTACCACAAGGATCACCCTTGTCCCCCCTCTTATATCTTCTTTACAACTCGTCTCTTCTTGATATTGCTAACCAAATAGACTGGGCCGAAGCTTTAGGATTCATTGACGACGTCATCCTTCTTGCATCAGCACCCGACCAACATCAACTCAGGTCAAAAATGAACACCTTAACATTCAGACAAACAAAGTGGGCTGAGAAACACGGTGCAATCTTCGATACAAAGAAGAGTCACTGGATGATATTCAGCACAAAAAAACCCGACAAAGACACAGCTCCCCCAACCATCAACTTTGGCGCACGGAAAAATATCTCACCACAGGCAAATACAAAATGGCTAGGTATCACATTTGACGGCCAGCTCAATTTCTCACAACACAGACAGGATGTAATCACAAAAGGAAAACAAAGGTCAGGTTTCATTGCATCGCTAGCTAAATCAGAGTGGGGCATCCCACCACACCTGATGAGAACGTTGCTAATAGCCACAGTTCACGCGACAACTGATTATGGTATAGCGGCATGGATGCCACTCGATCCCCCAAAGTACCTCATCAACCACCTCTCAACAATTGACAACACCAGCGCTCGAGCAGCATTAGGGGCTCTCCAAACTACCCCTCGTGTATTCCTTCAACACGACATTAACCTCCTTCGGCCAGAAACCAGATTAAAAGCTAAGCTTATGAACTTCATAGCCAAATCACTTACAAAACCAAGCCATCACCCCCTTTTTCCGATCATCCAACAGGCCCAGGTATCAAAACCACGAACGCACCGCAACATCTATCACCAATTCTTCCAACACAAATTAGGAAAAGAATTTGATGAATTCACAACACAACTACCAGTAGACCCGACTGCAATTCTCATCAGACCTCCCAGATTATCAACAATTATCCAAGACATCGAAAAGGTAGCTATCTTAGGAACGAAGAAACTCAAACCCTCAAACGAACACCTCGTCATTTACACAGACGGCTCTCGCATTCCAACCAAAAACACCGCAGCTGCTGCTTGGTGCGAAAATACTAATAAATCTATTGCACAACACCTAGGTAAGGCTAGACTCCACGGAATCTATCAGGCCGAATACAAAGGAGTCCAATTAGGTCTTACAATCGCCATGCGCAAATCAACTCAAGATACTAGAAGAATCACAATTATTCTGGACAATCAGTCAGTAATTAAAGATCTCAGTAACTGCCCTCTATCAATCGCGTCACTACTCGACCGGAAGGAGACCTTCAAGATCATCAACTACATAGCAGCATCATTCCCAAACGCAAGAATTACAATCCGTTGGTGCCCAGGACACTGTGGTGTACGAGGTAACAAAACGGTGGACAAAATCGCTAACAGCTTGGCAAAAAGAGAATTGCCAAGCACATTCACATCCACGCCCTCTCTTGCAGGTTTTACATCAGCAATCAAGGAGTGGTCAAAAGCAGACAAAAACAACTTTACCGATAACGAAATCAAGAGATTAGGCCATAAACCTTCTCAAAAACGACACCTTAAGGCTCTCAGTGAACTACGAAAACATGAATGCACGGCAATCACACAACTTAGATCTAATCATATATATCTTAACTCATATCTATTTAAGCACCAACAGCGATTCGACCCCCTCTGCGAATGTGGAGGAGGGGTTGAAACCATTGACCATTTCTTGTTCATATGTAACAGGTACGAGAAACAACGAAAGAAGCTAATCAACGTGATAAACAAACTCCAACTCTCAGAATCATCAGACATCACCAAAAACCCGAAAGCATTTGGATGCATAGCCAAATACTCCAACTCGACCTGGCGGTTCAAGAATCGTTGGGTGTGGGCAACCATCACCAAAGAGGAAACCCCTCAAAATCTCCAAACCCCATCCATATAACATCCTTCCTACATTAGGGCGGTTCAAGAAGGGCTTTTACAGCCCTTTTTTATATTTTACATCTTGTTCGGGGTCTGTAAATTTTAAGTAAAATTTTAAGGTCGTGAACCACCTTTAGAGGTGGTTCACGGTTTGGCGATCTTGTAATCGGCCTTTAAAATTTTTAAATTCTGTCCCTGAATTTCCAAAAGACAGGGACAATTGAGCCGAAAAAAAGAATTACTTACATTCTTTCTTTTTTTTGTTCCTGGATTCTGACAATTTTTGGTCAAGAAAGGACCTCGTTTTCTCGTATTTTTTTTTCTCGATGGCTTCCTCTTTCATTAACAAAAATTCTGTACAAAAACACAAGAAAACAAAAAAGAAAACAAAGCCAAAAAAAGAACGGTTGGGACTGTGTTCCTGAATTTACAAAGCTGTAAAACGTAAGTTTACAGCATTCGCCGCTTTGCGATCAAGCTTTTTAAGGATTGAGCAACCTTAAAAAGACTGATCGCGACTCGGCGACCACGTTGCTCGCGGTTCTCTTCTTGAACCGCCCTATTGTCTTGTCAAACACCTTCCTTTAGCGCCACCATCTGTATCTAAACAAAAACACTTGTAATACTTTAAACAGCCAGCACGTGACCTTTTCCCCACTGGGGTTTTTACTGGAGCGGAGCACAAGTAGTTAAGTGCCTGATAGCCTTCGGCTCAGGAGGCACTCTAAACAATGAAATAAAAAAAAAAAAAACAACGAATGGGTGAATAGATCTCAACAGATGGAAGCTGGTGGCATGCTCCAGACCGCTTGGCTTTAAAAACTTCCGTTGATTTTGATGATTGTATGTACAAAGGTAATATACGCGTCGTTTTCGAGCCATCGCCAGTCACCGGTCAGCGTGGTTTGTCATTTCCATATTCAACCGTCTACAAGCTTTCAGGGATTAGCTTATATCGCAATACGATCTTAGCTCCCTTTTATTGAAGGATTCAGGAGTTCAGGGCCCTGCAGATATATTTTCAGTGTTTCTGTCGACCAATAGACATGTCCTTCCGTCCCAAGCAGCCCTTCCTGCCGACCACAAGCGCCTCGCAACACTCTACTTTATTCTGGCCACCTTCGTGTTCGTTGCCCTGGTATTCCGAAACTCGGTGAGCTCAATGAAACCAATCTCACGTTCCTCATCATTTGGTTGTCGCTTTACTCCCGAATTCCTCAAAGATCCGCGCATTGCATCAATTCCATACGCTTCGAGGTGTTTGCTTCGAGGTGTTTGCTTTGAGGTGCTTTGCTTTGAGGTTGTTCGGGGAGATGGATCTCAATCGGAGACACAGCTGCGCTCGTAGTATCACCTTTTATATCTCACAAACCAGGTTTCCAGTGTGCACATCAGTCACAAACTCTGTGCACTGCTAGACATCGCTGTTTCACTCCAACCGAAATTGAACACCGCGATTGACCAGCGAAGATTCCCAACCACGCTGTTCTAAATTTGTTTCAGTACATTCAAAAACTTCCGCATATATATCTTGGGAAACAAGCTTCAATCATCTTTACAGCCCTCCTCAAATTCCATAATCCCGTCATCGAGTCTCATCGCCTCTCGCTCATAATTCCCTCTGCCTTTCTGCGCCACAGGTTTTACATCTGATTCGCTCGCAGATCAGCACGTTCATTGCAGAAGACTGTTTTCGGCTACTCCTATCTCGCGTCTTTGCCTTGGTATTGAATTTTGCTGCGCCGTTGGACATCCATCAGCTCATCGAAGAATTGCTGTAGCTGAACCCAAACCATCCAGCTGAAATCGGTTTCCAACCATCTCATTATGGCCAGTGCTTCGGGTCCCCCTCCTCGTATTCCAAATTTTGAGCTCAACGAACGTATCGGCGCCTTCTTTGCGTATTTGGGTCTCGTAGGGTTGGGTGTGAGCTATTTTACAGAAGAAATTCAGACACCGTTTGCGACGCTACGCAGGCTACTATAGAAACATGTCTACTGATTGCGAAAGCTTTTTTTGGTTTGTTGTCTTGATGAATTTCACATAAAATGTATTCACGAACAATTTGCAGGCCGCAGTGCTATTTCGACTTCCAAGTTTCGTGAAGCATGTGCGTGGAACTGGTAAATATGGCTATACTTTTCTCGCCGCACAACAGAATGGTAGCGTGGCTTCCGGAGTCGCCAGAGTTTCGCAAGGGGAGACAGGTACAGTCATGAAGAATAGTTGGATCAAAAGCACTTGGTGGAACGTTCAAAGGGCTCTCATGACTCGAATCCCACTGACCAGTGGACTCAGTGTTGGAAAACTCCTTCTCATGATGGTTTGTTACTCTGTTGATTGTTGCATAAAATTTCTTTTACAAAATGGATCATCTGCTCGTATCTTGTTGATAATGTGTCTTGCCCTAACTGCAGATGTACATTGCGGTATCAATCACATTATCGCTGTACAGAAATTTAGACAACGATATCAGCATAAATAACTACAAGCGCTTTGGCTTTCTAGCCGTCTCTCAACTTCCCATCACCTTCGCACTGAGTATGAAGAATTCCCCGCTAGGATACTTGATTGGGGAGGGTTATGAGAAGCTCAATTTTCTACATCGCTTCACCGGTTCGTCAAAGGACGTTTCTTCAGTCTAAATGGAATTGTCTCGTCTAATGGAGCCGATTTTCTTTGTACATGGTGGCTCGACGTCTCAGGTCGGCTGATGTTCTTATTTGGTAAGCTATCAGAATTAGAACTGTCATACCCTGTCATGTTTTCCAAGTTGGCCACGCTTCTATTGGTTAGCTGACAAGTTCCTACTCGTCAGCCCTGGTTCATGGCGCCCTATTGATGAAGATCCAAGTTGAACGAACTGGTACCATTCACCTTGGTCACGCTCCTCCGTCCTGGGGCTTTGCTGCGCTTGTAACAATGCTGGTGATGGGCTTCACGGGCTGGCGAGTGATAAGAGAAAGATTCTATCAGCTCTTTCTCGTCATTCATGTGATCGGGTGAGCAATTCTATCTTTCAAACCTTGATGGTCCAAAAGTCATTTTAAAAACCCCTGTTGTACCATGTACATCTGTTATCTTTGTTCATACAGGTATATCGTCATTCTGGTCACCATTTGGAAACATGTGCCAGCAACCCATCCAGTTCAGTTTCCATATCATTGTCACATACATTGATATTACTTCAATCAGAAAAGAGGCTGACGTTCTCATGTACTTGATCTACTCTACACGACTTGGTCCTTTGATATCCAGTACGTCTACGTCTCCATCGCATTCCTTGGCGTCGATCACGTCCTGAAGGCTCTCAAGACTCGTTATACCGATGCATCACTCTCGATAATGCCGGGCGGACTGACACGAATCGAGGTGCATGGAATTAATGAGGGTTGGCATGCAGGTTAGTTGATCAATTATCTCGTTACTGTTCAATATACTTGAGCTCCTTGCTTCCTCATCCGTCCAAACTTGCAACGGATCCCTACGACTTTCTTCTATGTTGCTCAAACGTTGACCCCGAACTGACAGGACTATTTATTATGCATTTCCATATCATTTCCTCCATTATTTATTCCCTAAGGCCAGCATGTTTTCATCCGAGTCCTCAACGGTCGAAACGTGGTTGAAAAGGTAATACGATTTGGGGTGGCTTTTTCGAAGTGACTCTCTTAACCAATGTGTGCAACTTGTTCGCGATTCAGCATCCTTTCACTATAGTCAATGCACCAAACCGCTCGTCCTTACCCTTGTAAGTCTTTCTTGATGAAAATCGGTTAATCCAGACAAATCATACCACAACAAATATGCATGAGGTGAGCTGATGAATTTGGCTTCACATCTATCTTCTGGGGTGACTCTAAAGGTTAGGTCAAGATTTGGTTCTTGTAGCAAAAGCAGCTGGTGATTTCACTCGTGTAAGTCCATAACTTTCAAATCGGAAGACTGTCCGTCATCCATTGCAATCGTGTGCCTTTTCATTTTGGTTTGCCTTCTTGAGCTGATCGCCTCTTGAATCTTTATCATAACATGCAGAATATGCATAAAATGGCCGACAAACCCAATGAGCTTCTCTCGGAGAAATCCAAGACTTCTGAAACTTTCATGAATTATAAACGCTTCCGCGTCACTGTTGAAGGGTGCGTCTCTTGATACCATAATTGACAGTGTCTCGGCTGTCAAGTTGATTTTATCGGCTTGAGTATTCTCTTTCAGACCTTACGGCGTCTCATTTGACGACCCCACAAAATATGGCACCGTCTTCCTGGTGAGATTTCTTATTTTTTCAAGCTCTGATCACTAATTGAGCTCAAAATTTTTTCCATGACCCAAAAGTGTGCGGGCGGGATCGGGATCACGTACTGCATCGGAATACTTGAAGATGTTAGCCTTTGGAAACCACAGTCATCTCTTCCTTTTCTGATTACTGATAAACCCGTGGACATTTAGATTGTAGGTAAGATCTTTAGAGGAGCCCCGATATCCACACAGAAGATCGAGTTGGTCTGGGCGTTTCGCGACAGTCGTGAGTGTCAATTTTTGACTCTATGTTACATGAAAAGAGACATGTTTTAAGCGTTATTATCACCAACAACAACAGGTTTACTGGAGGGGTTTGAACCTGCTTTAGCGGAAATAGTCAACGTAGCGGTCGCGCACCCTCAAATTTCTATCAACATTCGACTCTTCCGCACTGGCGGTGACCGAAACTTGAATGATTACACGAGTTTACCCGCAAAATTCGAGGCAGGAGCGCGACCAGACTTCAAAAACTTACTCGATGAAGTCGCTGCACACCCTACTAGTCTAGCTATCTGCGTCTGTGGCCCAATCTCATTCGTCGATAGCGTCTCAGCTGCTGCAATTAGTATGAACACTGGGGAGTTATCAGACATTGCACTACATACGTAAGTTGCCCATGTTTCTCTATTTTGCGTTAATAGCTTGATGAAAGCATACGAATCCTGAAATATTTTTGGCGTTTGATAAAGCGAACGGTTTGGGTGGTAGTTGCGTGCATATTGTTGTTCCAACATAGATGCATCACTGTCATACCTTTCAAACTACAAAGCAAAAACCTTTGACAAGTATCATACTTTCAATTTCAATTTTTGCCGAGATAAAAAGAAAGGTGTGCCAGCCAAAGGTGGATCTTCATCGTATTTCTCTTGACATCTGTAATCTGTCCGATAGCGATGGCTATGTCTGTATTTGTTCTTCATTAATTTTTCTCCCCAGACGTCCACTAGACATGGTTGCTATCCTTCAATCCACAATACTCTACTCATGAAAACTATAATTTTGAGTACCATTGCTTGTGGAAATGGTCCTCTTGAGCTTGCTCAGGCTCCCACAACAGAATCTTGATTCATTTTCAGTTTTTCAAGGTCTTTTTTTTGTCAAGTAATAATGGTGGTTTCTCATTCTTACTAGTTGTCATTTTCTAAGTGAGACTCATTCCTCCGAAGTAGCTTCCCGGAGTAGCCCACTGGATTGAGAGTTGACAAATTGAGTGCATATTGATTGATTCCTGTCTTGAGTGCTCAATCCAAGACAGGTAAAGGATCGTTGGATTCTGCTTCTAAATCAGCTCCTATCAAGTTAGGCTGAATCAGAATGCTTAGGTTCTCTTGAGTGAGCAGTCAAAGTATCTGATATTCTCTGTTGCAAAAATCTTACAGGATGAAGCTTTCGTGCAATATTCTCAGATACCTTTCCTCGAGGATTTCGCTAGATTTTTTGATGGAAGTAGATATGTGGCTGTTGGAAAAGTACATGCTGGACAGATGGCAGAGTTGCAAAACCTGGTGAAGAATATGAGAAAGGCAGAACGATATGAATTTCAGTGTTCAGGAATCAGAATACCGGGTGCAAAACCAATGATAATTGGAGCAGAATTTAACTCATAGGCGAGTTTTTTCCTTGGCAAACTATCAGATGCGTTTGCAAGGGCTGAATTACATGAAGAAGGAAACTTGAACGTAGAAAGAGAAGAAGCAAAGACAATGACTCTGTGAAAATGTTACCGATGAGCAATTTGCCCACCTTTGGAACGGGTTCATATCTGGTTCATATCTTAAACATATTGGTGATTAAGAAGGTGGACAAGCTTTCGATTGTTATAGCTGTTGGGCATCGAACCTCATGCTACAAGGAAAAAGTTACTTTCTCATCAGCTCAGTGGCAAGATCAAGCCTTTCTGATCATCTGGCCATGGGCCACGCCTGACTGCAGATACATTTCAAGTCTCTGGTGCATCTTCATGCTCTGGCTCAACGGGCATTTGCATCTGATGAAAGGCATTGAGAACACCTCGTGCGAGTTCTGTATGTCATGAGACGACCAGTCATCGCTGGACCCATCTTTCTTGAAAAGCCTTATCCTTTGGTTGCCCCAGCCTGATTCATGACCCAACTCCGCCATTTCTCTGGTGCCGCCTCAGTCTCTTTCCTTATTCTGAACTCACTAAAGTATCGATCAAAGTACGTATGGAGGATGGTACGTAACCGTCGCACCCAATTACAGCTGCCGAGTGAATCAGACATGATACATCTAAAGGCTCAAATTTGAGATTCGGTCGACGCTCGGTGAAGCAGGCCATCCGTTTATTGGCTAGGGGACGTTGAACAAATACAAACAGTTTCCTACTTTGCATTGTCGTTGACAGAGTAGCGGATATTTATACATATGAGAATAGCATCTTTCGATCAGAACCCACCTGACCTGCATGTGGTCCGATCAAAATAGCCGGAGTGAGAGGCCTTTGTATGTACACTGAGTGGTCAGGGTGGTCACAAACAAAAAACTGCTTCTCATCCGATGTAGCTGCACTTATTGAACAAACATCCGAGCGCCACATTGCATAACCAAAGGAGGAAGATATCTATACGCAAAAACAAACAACAAGTGATTCTAATGTTCCGTGTTTTCGGGGGCAATTATAGTGTTATCTGGACCTATCATCCGTCTTCGAAAGAAGAAACAAAGAAGGAAATGGAACTGCCTAAGGAGAAAAAGAAGAAATCTCAAGTCTTTCTCGGACACAGACACCTCCGATAGCTCTCAGAGATACACATAACCCCACTATTTTGTAAGACAAGAAAGAGTACCAGATAGAAGTTGTTATTAACAAAATATGATGAGCAAAAAAAAGAAAAAAAAAGAAAAAAGCTTCAAATTGAAAGACTAGAAAGTCCAGCGAGAATGTCTAATACTTGATGAAACCAACCAAATGAGCTCTACTAGATATGCTTGATACTTTTTTTAAGAAGAGGTTTGCAGTTTTTATGAAGACTAGAGTGACCTTTTAAGTTTTTGCGATACCTCAATCCGCAAGCGTTACAAAGATTTCTCAACCCAGTCGGCCCACTTCTCCATTCTGGAGTATTTTTCGTTCCGCATTGTGCGCATATCCTTTCGGGACCGGCTCTGGTTTTCTTCTTCTTTATGATTGGAAGATTGGAAGGATAATTCGGAGAAGGAGATTGAGATGGTGTGGATGGGAATGAGGCGGTCGCGAAAATTGTATTGGGAACCATCTCTTGAGTAGCTCTGCAATAATTTATAAGTAAAAGAAGGTAGAAACAAATTAGATAGGGGTATACTTTTTCAACGCCTGCATAATCAGGAGGTATGATATCTGGAGTCTCAAGGAGAAAAATGATAACTCAACTGCCACATCAATTTAGGGGAGCAAGAATCAAAAGAAGGAGAATAAGGAGAATGTGGAGGGAATTGAGGAATTGTGTAGGCATAATCCGCACTGGGATAAGGCTGGATGTGCAGATGAGGATATAGATAGGCTTGTTCTGTTTCCATAATGGAGTCACGGGGAAAGCTATGGTTATGTGCCATCATAGACATCGGATAATTTGGTGAGGGCGGATAGCTCAACTCTATTGAGAGGTGCGGTGGTGTAAGAGACTGCCGAGGGCACGAAGAAGATGGCAGTGGAGCGGAGATTTTGGCGAACTGATCTTCTGCGAAATTGATGATCGGTGGTTGAACTGGGCAAGGACGAGGAAAGATGTCGGAGGCTGCCATGTTGGGAAAGTTGTTGAAGTGTTGGAGTCTTTGGCTCTGGATCAAACGAAAGCAAATTCAAAGCGAAGATGAGCAATCAAAAGAGATTTGAAGATATGAGGAGTAAACATAAGAATGATTCGCACTTCTGCTTCAGGTTCACTCAAGCAAAAGGTCTTTACATCCATCTGGTTAAAGAAAGTTGTTGTAGTTCAGAAATCTATTAAGGTCGAACAGCTGGTCCTCGAGTTCCGTCACTCTACTGAAAGAAGTAAATACTTTTTAGGTAAAATGGGATGTTTGGGATCGTCAGAGGATTGAATTGTCGATCAATCCCTCTCAGCCTATTTAAATATTCAATCGTCAGAAAAATTCCAACAAATTCAAAAGCAATTCAAAAACTCAACTATAGTTTGTACTTTTCTTCACTCAAACCATTCAAATCGAACTTACTGAGACTGTAACGTCAAAACGATAACCTCGATACATACCAGCGGGAAAAAAAAGAAGAAAATCCACAAAAAAAAACAAAAAAAAGGCAAAGATGTACTCCGGCAAGTTCCAAATTGACAAGTACAGGTTCTATGTTGCGGATCAAAACTCTCTCTGTGTAGCTCTGTGTACGGTGTACCTGACGAATGCACCAGCCTTCCATCCTTTGATTTCGTATCTTTTCTGCTATATTCTTTTGCTGATGTGACTCAAACACCACTGAAAATGGCTACCTCAGTAGTGAAGCTTCCAACATACACACAGGCGCAGATACAGCCGGATCCTCTATGCGGGCCCCAATTTTTCTATAGGGGCTCAACCCCGAACGAAAGGGCAGAGGTTTGTTTCCCATCACTCAAGTCGACAAACCGACACCCCCTGTTCCCGTGGTGCAATGGTCTAGGCTTGGGGACGATTTAGGTCCTGATCTGTTGGCTACTAGACTTGACGAGTTTTGGACTTGCCTCGATTGCAAGGAGGATCTGAAAATTGGTGGTTAGAGTGATTACGCGTATAGTGACAGTCGCGCGTCTCGTTCGGCTCCCTTGGCCGGTGCCGATGACAGGAGCTTGCAATAAAGCACAGCAATCCTCAGCAAACCCCAAGAAACCTGTTCGAGACGGGCACTCATACATATTTGCGCAGCCAAATTGAGGACGATTTGCGTCCCGCGAACATTATCGTCTCCTCTCCCGCAAGTGATCGGTTGGTATCCTACGCCGCGGTCCACTTCCTACGTGCGGTGGCCAAGGTTTCAAACACACTCCGTCAATTAACCAAGACGATCCTTCCTGCAGTGTTGGTCTGCGCCGAAGCACGTGAGTGAATGAAACGTGTATTATGTATGCAGCTTCCGCCTTTCTTGCTGAGGCCAGGATCGTCCCACTCTTCGTAATCAACCATCGAGCCTTTTCCCAAATTCTGATGAATTAATCCGTCCTCTCCTCCGGCAATCATTACCCACCGTGCGTGGTACAATTTGTTGCCCTTTTTTTGTGTGGTCACTGGTCACACACGCATACAGCAGTCATTCACCTCTCGTCCTTGAACTTCAAAGACCACCGGCGCCTATTATTGATGTGTACTTTTGGAACTTCGAACAGAGGCTACGTAGAATTCGCGCGAAGATAGATCACTTTGGCTTTCATAAGGTGGGCTCTTTGGCCGATCGAGCATATGTACATACAGCATTTACAACCTTACTGCAATGATACCGGCAATTCGGCCGGCAAGGCGCTGCACGCTTCGTAAAACGCTTCCGTGAATTTTGCCTGTAAGAGTCCATGATAGGGCTTGATATTTGGGCCATGTTATATGTAAAACGCAAGGTTGATCGCGCAGGGTGAGCTCAGTACCCACAATGCCACATATGTACTACACCCCCTAGTCTTATTGGCAATCATGAGATTACGAGACACGCACGATAGGTAGATTGCGGGGTTGCGGGAAACAAAACGATTTCTTGCCAAAAAGAGTCGACACGGTGGACACATATACAGTGTCGAGTTCACAAAGCTGGCCCTATATTCCCCGCGAATGTGCCTGACGTCTGCGGGCAAGGATGTGCGAGCTTTTGATACGAACGATTAGCTGTCTTTTATGATTGAGACATTTGAGTTGGATTTTTAGCGCCAGAGTATGGAACACGAAGGCAAGGATTGATTTTTCATATATTTCATTGTAAGGCCCCGCTTGGTTGCCGCTTGTTTTCATACACTAAAGTAAAAGTGTACCACATGAAAGACCAAAAACCACAGTACAAGTTCAAACTCACAAGTTAATCAGAGTACAAAATGAAACGGTGGTTTTTGAAAAATCGTTTGGCAACTCAAAGCTAAAGCCAAATTACAATGCTTGTGAGGACTAACAATTATTTATTTGTACTTGAAAATTCAAAATTCACATGATGAATTCTTCATCAATCAAGTTCATCAACTCCAAATAATTGCTACCAAGCGGGGCCTAAAAGGAATTAAAAAAGAAACAAAAGACAACATACTCAGAGCAAGCATTGAGTACCTGTGGTGGAATTTGATGCAACAAGATCCCTCATTTGAGTATTGATAAGAGAATCATCATGAATCCAAGAATTAGTCACTTTGACATGATAATGAATTGGAATATTTTTTTGCAATAAAATTTCTTGTTTCCCTCTTGGGATGTGCTGTTGGGACCTTGTAGCACCATTTCCAAGTTGAATGACGGCCAGGATCTTCAAGTAAACAGCTTACAGCCATTCCAATAATTCTTGTCGCTCCATTTTGAAAAAGAAAAAGTGAAACTCGGTGAAACCTAAGTTTTTACTTGATAAAACTTTGAAATTGGCTGTAATTCAAGAAAATACAGCCAATTTTCAGGTTTTAACTAGTTAAAACTTAGGTTTTGAGCTCATAAACTTTTTCTTTTCAAAAATGTGAGCAACAAGAAATATTGGAATGGCTGTATGTTGATATAAGTCCATATATCTTCAACAGATTTAGTCATTATGATTTTTGAGCGGACCACAACTAAATTCAACCAAGAATTGAATTTGATATACTTCTGGAGTATAATATATTTGGGGTGTATGTACAATCCAAGCTAGATGAAATGAATGTCAAAATTCCATAAAAGACCCAAGGAGCGTTGATGATGACCAGGGCTTGTAAATGCTACATTGAAGACACACTATATCAACCATTGGTGTATTGTTTGGAAGATAGAGAAACAGAATAATTGACTTCAGGGTAATAAGCTTCCAGACATTTGTTCAGAAACACCATAGCCTTCCAATCCATGTTGACCAACCCAAATTTGCTGAGCCACCGGGCCTTTGGCGAGTCACTTTGTTAAGTTCGCCGTTGAGCAGGTTTTAATTCATCAGTTGACAACATCTGGACAAAGAGGGGATTTGATACACATGCAAGATCAATCACCACAGTGATTTTGGACTTTGGATTGATAAACATTCAAAACAGGTTCTTCACCAGTCAAGGACAGACCGGAAATCAACCAGGGCAAAATCCAGTTGATGAACCATAATATAAAACTGGTGGTGTGAGCTTTGATCAAGGTTGGTGAGTAATTGTGCATACCAATACCTTCTGCGCTTGGGTTTTTGCTGGTCTTGACTCTCGAGCCCTGGCCCATGTACCTTTGGGTGGAGCTTGCTAAGTCCTGAACAACGATATGACCCCACTTTTTCTTTATCATCAAGAGACAATATGGCTTCTCTTTCTCTTTACCACCAAGACTGAATTGTGCATTATCCTCGTCAATTCTCAGATTTTCTTCTCCTTCATCAAAATTCCCAGTCACACTATCATATAGCTGGAAGTAATAGTCTAAAAAGCCTTCTTGATACTTGAGGTTCAGCCGGATACAATTCATAGGCCATCAAAATTTCCTAGCTTTCTTATCACTGAGACTCACCAATCTTGAACAATATTCAAACCTTTCCCCTTACTTTGTGTGAGATATACCAACGTTGTTGACCATGGCTATGGGGAGTAAGTCATCTGTCAACTCTTACATGGTGGAATGTTTTCTAATCACCATTGAGCACTCAAACCTAATTCCAGACACTAAAATTTCCTACATCTCTTCCAGCACCAATTGATTTACGGACCAAAGCCATCCTCCTCAAGTAAGGGAGCTATGTCCAATCACTATCACTCAACCTTTCTGGAAATTGCTGTAAACCTATTGGTGAATTTACAAATGATCCCTTTTATGATAATCTTATCCCTCAATACAAGGACAAAGAATCCTCTCAAATCAGAGCATAGCTCTCTCCAGAGAGTGTGAGATGCTTGATAGATTGGTTCCCCAACCTTTCTGCGCTAGTGATTGAATATGATCTTGAGGTAGATAAAAGATCCAAGTAAAGGACTGGATCACAAGCCTTTCTGTTAGAGCTAGTTCCATTGTTATCATATCTAAGACAACTCCGGCATCTGAAATTGCGTGGTGGATGCAGCATGAAGATTGCCAATGGATTTTCAAGAGACATCCTGGATAATCAACCTGTGTTTGAGTCACTTACATTGGCTGGATTTCCAGATTCTGGAGACCAACAACAGCATGGTGACAATTCCCTCAAATTCAATCTGTCCAGAATCAAATGTTTATCACAATTGCATTTATGGGGACTCAAAGCTTTAGATACAGAATTGTGCATTCACAATTGGCCAAAAACAATCACTGATCTTTCAATTTGCTATTGTGGTGATTTATTACCAGGTGCTGTGCACCAAATCATCCAACATGTTGCACCTTACACGACAAAGCTCAAGCTTGACTTTGGCTCTATGCCAATTTATCATCATGGCAGATGGGAAGAAACATGAGATATCGATTCTAGGTAGAGTCCAGAAACTCATTTCACTCTTCTATTTTTGACTGACTTGGAGCTTTTGCCCAGGACCCTCTCTTACTAGACACCTTTCAAGACTGTAAATTTCTAGGCCGTCTCCAGTGGACCTACAGAACATTGAATCATTGTAGCACTCTAATTAGGATGCTTCTTAAAGCCAATTTGCCTGAGCTCAAGAATCTGATTGTGACTCCTCACTGGCGGTTAACACTGGCTGATGTTGAACATCCAGTACAAGAATTCAAGAAGCCATTAGATCTATTGCAAAAAAAAATTCAAAGAAGCCACTATGAAAGCAACCAGAAGGTGACCTTCTGATGATCCCCTCTAGTAGTTGACCGGATTCGAAATATTACAATTACACTCCCATGTATGGTTTTACATGGCCTCACTAATCTGAAGGGAAGATATACTTTTCCTACTTCCTGGTGGTATGCTCATGCAAGTCAAATTTCATGAGGCTTTTAAGACTTGTTCTGCACTTGGTCTTTGTAAAAAAAGCCACCACTTGGCTAAGACAAAGACGTAGTATCAGATTGTTGAGAATACGTGAGTTGTAGTCTTTGATGTACTACTTTTGATTTTGACATGTTTGGAAATCAAGACTTATCTTGCTTGCAATGTACATGAGATACAATTATATAATCCTGCCTCAGCAATCATATAATCTCTTCCCTCACTCAATTGCACATCTCTCTTGATTGATATTATCTCACCTCTCCAGGTCTTATCTGATGTTTTACATTCTTCTCAACTCACCTATTTACGGATCTGGAACAAACTTTTTGAAGAATTTTGAACATAAGATCATGTGTTGATTATTTTTCCACTTCTCATATGCTAACCTCCAGCAAGTGAATCAGATTTCAATTTGCCTTCTGAATTTTCCTTTGTAGACTTAACAATGGGTAGATTTCAAGGCGTCTAAGAAAAAATGTGTGAGTATGAAGTGACTCCATAGTGCTTGAGTCCTTGCTAAACTTGCTGCTTCCAATAATTATCAGTTCTCAACATTATCAAAGAATCTACTCAATGCTGACAGTGGAGTGGAATTGTGCCAGGGTCATACTTCTGACATAGGGTCAGAAGTTGGCTCACGCAGAGGTGTTTTTTCAGGTGTAGGATCAGGAATAGGCATATGTGGAGGAGTCTCATCAGGAGTGGGATCAGGCAAGTTTCAAGATGTGTGAATGATGTTATCTGGAGTGAGGTCTTCACCTTGAGTTAAAGGATGAATGGGTGAACATCTCAAAGCACAGGGGGAAAAATAGAACTTGAAGCTCACATAGATATGAGAAGAGGAACCTTTCCTGATATCTCCAAAAATGTTTCAATTTGTCTTCAGAATCCTTCAATTCACATTTTTTTGTTGCACTGATGTGCTCATGAGCCTGCAATACTTATGTTTTGCTTGAGTTTGCCAAAGCATGCTCATCTTCATCTGGAATGAACATCTCTCGAGGATGGTAATCAGGACTCAGCTGGCACACTGCTGTATACTCAGCATCACCTGTACAATGACAAATCCTTTGGAGGAACAAAACTCAGGTGCCAACACTGCATGAGGAGCATAAAAATTTGGGATGTTGTTAAAGAAATCCTGATTCCATAAAATCAATACAAAATTTGATAGAATCAGGATTTCTTATGGTCAAAGCTGCAAAACTGCCTGACCTGAGCCCCACTAAGGGGGTTTCAACTTTGGATTTTTTTACATATTTTTGAATTTTTTTGAAAATTCAGGCAATTTTTTTGTAAAAGAATCTTTGTAAAACTAACATATTTTTTACAACAATGGCACTGCACAAATAATGTATTTTTCCAAGGTGAAAAATGATTGACATTAATGCACAAAATGATTAATAATGCAGAATTAATGCAGAAAAATGCAGAATTAATGCATTTTTAATCATTTTGTGAAATAAATGTAATCATTTTTCACCTTGGAAAAATACATTATATTCACAGTGTGGGCAAGTTGTTGTAGCATAAAAATACCTCAAATGCTTCAACTTGAAACCCCCCTATTGACAATGTATTTTGCAACAACTGACAACTTGTTGTACTGCAAAAAAGTGTAAACACCAAATCTTGAAACCTGCTGAGAACATTTAGAGTGACAGCTTTCACAGCAAGCTTTGCATCTACGCAATAACATTGTACCACATTATATTAACCAAATACGTGTTTGTGGACCCAGTGAGTGAGTCTATCAAGATCTTGAGTATACAATACAACAACTTCATTTCAATTTCTATCTTCCCAAACAAACAAAAAATCAATGACATACAAGAAAGAAAATGAAAACCGATATGATTATAGGTATCTCTCAACAATCAATACATGTGTCAGAAATATAAACGTACAAAAAACTAATTGCAAACAAAGAAAGAAGAAAAAAGAGGATCATGTTTGGTTAAGTCAAGTAAAACAAGAAAAAAGATAAGATAAAAGGGTAGTAGCAAGAAATTATAAGAATCATAGGTCTTCCATATATAAAGAATCAGGTCGTGTACGCTTGAAAGGAAATAGCAAAAAAAGACAATAACGTTGAAATTATTCGATAGAAAATCCTAGACTAGACATAATGGTAAACGGGCATACATTAAAAAAACATTAAAAAGAAATCAACGCATATCCAAGATCAATACTTTCTTGGATCAAAATGAGACGTATGATACGGATCAGGATGAGTTCCATAATTGGTGGTAGAGGGTGGCCAGTCTACTTCTCCATAAACGTCCCCTCTATACATTCCATTCACTCTTGACAGAGCTTCTTGATGTTTGGCTTGAGTGACTAGCCATACTTCTTCCTCTTCTGACATCATTGGATGAGTATAACCATAAGAGCGCAGTGGTAAAGGGCCTGAAGACGAGTTAGAACGTCTCAATCTCGGTTCTGTTGGTGAATCGTAGTAGCCTTTGTGGCGGTTCTAAATGTGAAAATGGAATCGTGTAGGATGTCAGTATCGCAAGTTTCAAGAATAAGCGGTCGATATTTATAAGTAGCAACTTACAGCATGTGCCAAAGGAGGTCCCTGAGGAAAAGTCAATTCGGGATAAGAACCGATGTTGAAAGGCGGTCGCGCGGCCTGTTTGCCCAGTTCCTGATCTCGAAGTTGCAATTTGGCGCGCAATTGGGCTGCACCCGTGTGATGGTCTGGGGTCATCGACCGCGTAGCTAGGCCCGGGTGTCGATTGGTTTGGGATGTCCGGTGAGCATCTGCTTGTGCTTGTGCCTCTGCGCGAGCCATGCCCTCTGCTGGGTATCCACGGCTTTGATTGTCCATGCGCGCTTGAGCATCTGTCCGAGCTTGATGATCTGCACGTACTTGAGCATCAGCACGCTCTTGAGCTTCTCTTTGTTGGCGTGCCTCTGCTTCGACCTTTGCTCTCAGTTCTTCTGTTGCTCGGTTTCGTTTCTCTTTCTCATTCTCTTCATCTGCCAGCCAACTTTCTAATTGCTGTGTACGTGTTCGTAAGCTCTGATTTTCACCCTCGAGTTGATCCAGTTGACTCTCAAGTTCTGTCACCTTGATAAGTAAGTTGTCGTGAGATGAACGGAGCTGAGTGATGATGGTTTCAGCTTCTTTGAGGGCATTGAAATAAGCGGGTGATTGGTCGGTCGAAGTTTTTGGGAGGTCAACTCGATCAGCAACGATGTTTGGAACGGATGCGCTGGTCATGATGAGACCTGGAGACTGCTCAACGGAGCGAACTGGTCGAAGATTGGAAGCCAGCTTGACCGGGTAATCCTTCAATGGTGTGCGTTTCAATGGCGATTGAGAGTTTAAAGTTTGAGAGACTGATGCAGCTCTCACTGGATAAGCTGGAGACGAAGGTCTAGTAGAACGTCCAACTGATGTGGCTGCTCTGCTACCCGCTCGATACTCAGCTATGTCGTTCAATAGTGGGGTGATGGGAAGTCTCACCGGACTTGGAAGTTGATCTTCTGGCATACCTGAAAGTCTCAGGTTTTCGATACGCGCGTTGAGCTCTTCAGCTTCTTTCTGTTTCTGTCGCCAAAGCGTCAGCTCATCTTGCGTGGTGAAGTAAGGTTGAGTTCTAAGAGCTGCAGCGTCCAAATTTTTCGAGTGGGGAGCAGGAGAATTCACGACCGCGCTGGGACCAAGTGTATCCATATACGGAGTAGAACCGGGACGAAGATGGTAGCCAGGAGATTGTGACGGCTGAGAAGTAGACATCGGTTGGGTTTGAACAACAGACTCTAACTGAGCAGTGAGTTCTGCAATGCGTTGTTCCTTGACCTTCCTGTTATGATCCTCGAGAAGTTGCTTGTGTTGATCTGTACTGAGCCGAGAAAAGGACGAAGTCCGACGCAGTGACTGATTGGATTGTTTGGAACGCAAGTGGGCTGTGTTGGCTGAGGGGTTGGCTTGCCTTCGTTTGTCGACCCATGCAATCGAAGATGAACAAATAAAACAAATCAATTCAAGAATCAGTCATCCACGTGAGCAAGTTGGTTTCATAAGGAGACAAAAAGGAGATTTCGTGAATGGGATCATGGCAGATGCAGCGAAGAAATCTGGATCTGTACAAAGTCAAATTCGTCCACTCTGTCCAATGTCTCGATGCATGTGCAGCATACATCCTTTGTGTCGCTCCGTGCGACTCTTTGTTCAGTGAACAAGAGCAGATCAACACTTTCAACTCCCCGACTGAGACTGAAATCATGAATAGGGTACAGATAATCAAGAACCTGGTCAAGGGGCGATCCAGTTCTGAATCAATGGGCACTGAGCCTTGATTTCAAGGTGGTTCAAGTGCACTACCATGTATGCGTGTTGAGAAATCTCCTGCGACATATCGAGCAGATGGAGTTGGAGTGAATCGCACTGTCCTTGAAGGGTTGGCCACGATTGACGAACGACTATCGACCTCGATTGGATGGTTTGATGCCACTTTCAAGCTCGATAATTTTGAACAGGAGAAAGACAAAAAGAGATTCTTTACCAGGTCTTTGCACCGACATCGAGCCTCTCGAGTATTCTCATCTTAGAAGGGGATAGGCGAAAAAAAATAGAACGCCTATTTCGTTTCACTTGGGTTGGAACCAACTGAGAGCGTCTATCCACTAAAATGGATTTCCTAGGTGGCTGGGCCGTCGTAAAAGTGGATAAAGTGATAGAGCGATTGTGAATTGGTTTCGTCTAATATGATATCATGTACTGTCGTAACTTCACACTCATTGATTTCAAGTTTTACGATTCTACTTTTTTGCTGAGTTGTCAAAGGTAGAAGTGAAAGAAATGATGAAAGTCACAATCGACCATTAGCCTCAACTTGCAAAACTGGTGACGATGGTAAACAGGAGTCAGGTGTCTGCGATCCCGGTCTTACGTAGTACAGTGGTATAAAGTTGAACTCTAATATACGAAACTGGCAAATGCTGATGAAGTACTGAGAGAAACACTTGAAAGTCCTTTGAGATGATGATGTTGATGAGATGAGATGGTCATGAAACCGAATGGGAAAAGTCTCTGCCAGAGAAACCGAAGGATTGGGCGACTACACCGTTGTCCATTTCACAAAATTTGATAACTTTTCACATGTATGTCACACTCCCGAAGCACGCCGTTATTCTACCAGTGGGATATCGTTCAATTCAATTAACCATGGAAGCGAGATTGCACTGGAAATAGTTCGCTTCACACGATGATGCAATTGTGGAGTAACGCAAATACAATGTACCTCGGTTTGGTTGAGACACACTCTCGGGCAAAGCATCTCCAACGTGGCTGAATTTGAATGACTCAATTACGGTACTCAAAACAATCAGGTCCGAGCTACCTTTGTCCGAAACCTACTTACATAGATTTCATTTTTGCGGGGACAAGAGAAACTAGGAATTCCCCACCTGGTTTCTCGTTTTGAGGAGCCCTTCGCCATCTACCACACCTCAACAACATGCCTCGTGTAGGCACCCGAGCCCAGCTGATATCCGACCTCGTGAAATCATCGCTTCATCTCTTATCGGTCATCAATCTCACATACCAGTCGCCTTCATACTTACCTCTTCAAGCGTTTCTTCACTTCGAATTGATGAAAACTGGCACCTTATTACTGCTCGAAAACTCTCAAGAATCGGTCACTATCTCAATGATCGCCTTAGTTGGAGCACTCGAAACTTACCTGAATGGATGCTTGAAGCTTCAAGAGGCCGAATCGAATCAAGTGGCCTTACGTGAACACTGTTTCCGGATTGGTGTTATACTTGGAGAAGCCCTCGAACAGACTGATAGAATACGTTACTTTGAAGATCGACTGTATGAAAACAGGAAGGACCTTCAACAAATACGTTTCACTGCGGTCTTCAATGGAAGCGATAGGAATTTTATGAAATATGTCAGTGTTTCGTAGTTCTTACCCGTTTGATTGATATGTGTCACTGATCTTTCATCATAATTGCTACCTACCACAGGCTCGAATGTCGAAGGAAAATTTTTTTCGCCTTGTACCTTTGATTAGTGAAGACCTCGTGTTTCATAACAGCTCATCGCGGCCTCAATTACCGGTCGAGTGGCAGCTCCTTGTGATGTTATGCCAGCTAGGATTGAGTGGAAATGGTGGAAGTGCGTATATGATTGGACAAATGTTTGGCCTAAGTGGTGAGTAGGTTATCTCTATCGGATCCTTGTATTATATCTGATGTCTGGCTGTTTCAGAGGGGAGTGTACATAACTTTACATCAAGATGTTTTGAGGCGCTATTAAAACTGGAAAGCCAGTACGTATACTGGCCGGACGCAGAAGAACGAACAATCATCAAGAACGACATCGGTGCTAGGTCATTTTTCAAAGATTGCGTTGGATTCATAGACGGAACCCTCATCCCTCTAGCCGTGGCTCCTCTCAAAAACCCGGAGGACTTTTGGACTCGCAAGTTTATGTATGCTCTCAATTCGATGCTGGTTTGTGATCACAACGCTCGGATCATCTATGCGCTGCACGGTTGGTGTGGCAGTTCACATGACCAGCGTGTTTTTGCATCTACTCAGGTAAGTTTGATTGATTCTCATATCCAGGAGAAAAGCTGATTGTTTTTGTCAGCTTGCTCAACACCCTGATCGGTTTTTCTCGGAGGGCAAGTACCTGTTAGCCGATTTGGGTTATACATGTACCCAGAACATCATTCCAACCTTCAAAAGTCCCTGTTCTTATGGATTAGATCATTTGAAGAAAGAATTCAACACTGCACTTAGTGAGCAACGCGTGGTTAGTGAGCACGGAAATGGCATGCTCAAACTACGATTCCAGTCTTTACGAGATATTTGACTCATCATCAAGGACACACGATCAGCTACCCATGCTGTCAACTGGATCCGAGTGGCCTGTCTTCTGCACAACTTCACGCTCAAGAATAGGGACAGCTGGAAACCAGACCAGCCACCTGAAATTTATGATGACGACGGTCAAGAAGTCCCTATCAATTATGATCAAAATGCCTCTTATGCAAGAAGAAACAAATTATTGCAAGACTTCAGAAGATGGCAGTGTAGGGTAAATGCGCAAGTGTAAAAGCAATATTCTCTCTTTTTAAAACAATTGTTGTTTAGCTATTAAATTTGTTGGTTACGTATTTTGATTCAAAAGAAATGAGTACAACTGTTTTGATGTTGTAAGGTATATTTAAAATTTAAATACAAGTGATACGCTGTTGTTTAGGAAATTATTACTCTGAAAGAAATGAATACAAGATTTGTGAGTTAAGGATCCTCATGAAGTATAAAAAACTTAACTCTTATCCCAAAAAATTTATTTCGAATTGTGAACTTTTGGGTCAAAAGTTCATATTCTCACAATGTACCCTGAGGCGAGAAAAATTAACCAACCAAAAAGGAGTACTCCTTGTATTTCATACCACCCACCAAAAAAAAAGATTTCACATTGATTTGCGCACACAATACAATAACAGGCCTACAACATATTTTTAATTTAAATTCAGATCTCTCGCACACACAATTAGACATTTGAGCTGATACAGAATTGAGCTGATACAGAATTTTTAGTCGTTTGTAAGATACACACACAATACACGATATTTGTTATCAGAGCCATTTCAAACCTTGGTTTTAGTTTTAGATGCTAGCAGCCATCTCATCCGCCACCTTCAAGGCCTCGTCTTTAGTCATGCCTGCAGAGACAAGCTGGGTAACCCATTGAATCTTCTCGCGCGCCATAGTGAGTTTGTCAACCGCCGCAGGACCGTGTTCGAGAGCTTCAACCGCGGCTCGCTCCGCTTTAAGTTCGCGATCAATTCGGAGAAGGCTCAATTCAGCCTGTTTAGTGACAAGTTCTGCATCTAAAGCTCTTTTCTTCGCAACAGCATCAGGAGATAGGTCGCCATCATTGGCACGCTTGTCATTTCTAGCAGGAGAACCGTCCAATCGGGATCCGAGGAACGAGATGAAAGCTTGAGTCGAGGTGGCCATTTGATCCTTCAAATCGTGGTAATCACTCGCCTCCTTCTTTCGTTCTCCGGTAAGTTCCTTTAAATCTGACATAGTAGGCAAAGAAGATCGAACTGATTTGGTTATCTCATTCTTCTTGCTAGTTGATTGTCTTTGAGGTGTCTCGCTCGCAGGTGGTTTAAATGCAGCAGGTGGCATTGGTCAGATATGGCTACTAGTACTACTGGAGCGACTGATAATCGATGGACGCTGGATCATGGGTGGCAAGATATCTTCAGGATCAGGAGTTAGCAACAAATGGTCTGGCGATGGAGAACGGCTGATGGGGGGGTTCGGGTTCCAAGATTCATCAAAAGGGATTGACTCGGCGGTTAAAGTGAGAGGATAGTCCTGGACTCCATTCGGGGTAGGGGTAGCCTGGGTAATCGGAGCGTCGGCTATGTTTGGAGTCATTTGGGTAGCATTTGGAGTAGTCATTTGGGTAGCATTGAAAACCTCGGCAGTAGCTAGTGGTTCGTTTCCAGGACGGTCACCCATGATCGGATCGAGCTCTTCATAAAAACGGCAGAGGCGTTTCAACATCTCTGAACCAGGTGGGAGAATGGGTTAGTATCTTGTAACACCCTAACAATTAAATGACGAGCTTACCGTTGGTCGTAGTGGCAGCCTTCGATCTGATGGCCTCACCGGCATCAGAATCATAATCTGCTTCAGGGTCAGCCTGCAAGTCATTGATATCAGTCTCTGCCTGCTCCAAGATCCCAGCCCCGGTCT